GCATAAATTACACAGGAGACATGTTGCTCTACTACTATTTTTCTGTTTATAGGATATGCAAAAAATCAGACTGCTCATTTAGAGTGAATTACATAGAAGAGGAAAAGAGTTTGAGTACTGAGAACCAGGCACTTATGAAAAACATAGTTAACTGTGCCAGCATAAATAGCAAGTGACAGTTAAGAATTCAGTACAGCATGGAATAGTCCTTTGAATTACTTTCCTATATATAGGGTTTTGGCATCTTAAGAGAGTCAGAGATGAGAGAGGACCATTATCTCCAATATATTGTAGGCCCTCCCACAACACCACCTATCCACTAAACCTAACAATCTGTTGTTCCATTCAGAACTTCAGAAATCAAAATGATCCTCAAGTTATGCTTTAATTTTAGTTACTCACTGAATTGAATGGCTTAGCAACTGAACTGCAGCATATTTAAGACTGAACTATAATAATTAAAGCTGGGAGTGAAGAAGTTTGAGCATCCTCTGTTAGCCCTGCAGTAGTAGTTAATCAAAGAACAGCTGCTATTCAAAGAGCTGTCAGGACCCAGACCAAGGCTCCTTGGGGCTTGAGATATATGCTACACACTGCATGCGTCATACTGATCTAGTGATGCTCCAATATGGAAGCTAACAAAACCATGTTGATTTCAGTCCCATTCAGGAATAAATGTGTTTGAGGTATGTTGGAAGTGCAAGATACGTTCAAAGCAGAAAACAGAAATCTACTGACAAGTGTTCGTTACCGGTCAGTTTCTCTGCTATGACATGTGCATCAATTTACAACTGGGTTTGTTCTTCTCAATGTGAACAGGAAGCAGTTAGTCATGGGCTGTACTATGTGAAGAACCAACCTGCCATGATCATCCACAATGCCTTACCTGCTATCAGTGTGATTTCCTAAATTACCTGTGTGGCTTGGGAGTCCTCAGGACTTGTGCCCCTAAGTGTTACAGGTGCTTTTAAAAGTCCCACTTTGACTAACTACTTGCTTAAGAGAATTTTCAGAGTTCTTCAACAGAAGGACATGACTCAGGGAAAAGCATGCAACCCATGTGTCAGATTTGGATATATGCTTCTGAAACAGAAAGGTTTTTCCAGCTCTTAAGAAATAGCATAAAACATTAAAAATAAAATTATACCCAAGTGGTTGGCCATGATCTTTTCAAAAGTTAAGTAGACCAACTTTGGCAAAAAAGAGGTGTGATAATAGGAACCTAAAGTTCTAACTTCCTACTAGAAAACAGTGGGACTTATTTGCATAGGAGGGCAGAGCTAAATTGTGTAGCACAATTTCACATACAATCATTGTGGATCTGAAGCCCATTGTCTTTAATGAACCACAGCCTGCACATGCAAATTATATACCATGCACACATGAATAAACACTGCAAATGAGCCTCAAATGCTATTCCCTCCTCTGAGAAGTGTTATAGGGAACGTTTCTTTATTTTACTATTTTCACATTATCTTTTCCAATTTTTCAAACTCTTGCAAATATGAATTTCCAGGTATTAATGACACTCATACCTAAACAAATTTGCCCCTTTTGTATAGTCAGCTATGCCAGTTGACTTTGGTGACAAACCTATTTTTATTCTTTATCTTTCAAGTCCTGCAAAGTCAGGCCAGCCAAGAAAGACTGAGCTGGGTTTTATTCTGGCTTACACATCAGCACTGCTAATTAAATTCAGATTGCTGAATTCTTACATGCGAAAATATGCATGCCAGTTTAATGTTCAGATTCCAAGCTAAGTTTCCATGTCTGGGAATTATGGAGTGGAGGGGGAGATGATACTTTTTTTACTTAGAAAAATGAGTGTTCTGAATTGAAACTGGGACTATATAAACATGCCAATTGCATCATATCATTATGAATTTTTTCAGAAAAATCATACTTTACACTATAAGAATAACTTCAGCAAATTTAAAACAAGATCCTTATGTACAGATACAAAAGCTAGCTAACTGTCATCTATGCTAGATGACTGCTCTATTTTACCTCTGGATCTTTAATATGATAGAGATTTTTTTCAAATCAGTCTATGGGAATCAAGAACCCATCATTAATTGAATGAATTTTACATTGTTTAAAGTGTCCCTCTCCTGTTGCATATCCCTCAAATAAAAAATCAGAGTTGTATGTTCAAACAAGATCTCTATTTGGTTTGCAGAATAGGGGGAGAGGTGAGAAGGGAGGGGTGGGGGGAGAAAGGCACATGGGCAATACAGGGACCCCTCGTGGAGAGCATAGGGGGGAAAGTCTTACAGCAGGCTTGGCTAAAACTGCCCCCTCAAGGCCTCCCGGATGAACACAACCCCCTGATGTGCTCTCCTGATGGCAGTGGTGTCCAGCAACTTGTAAGCCCTGCCCAGTCACTCAGCCTCTGCCTCCCACTCTGGCAGGAAAGTCTCCCTCTTACTGTCAAATATGTTGTGGAGCACACAGCAGGCTGCCACCATGTAGGGGCTGTTGTGATTGCTGAGATCCAGGCAGGTAAGGAAACTTCTGAACCTCCCCTTTTAGGTGGCCGAAGGCACACTTAACCACCATGCGGCACCTGCTGAGCATTGAAGTGCTCCTTGGTGAGGTCCAGGCTGCCCATGTAGGGCTTCATCAGCCAGGGGAGCAAGGGGTAGACTGCATTGCACAAGATGCACATGGGCATGTCCATGTCCCTGACTATGATGGTGCGGTCAGGGAAAGAAGTGCCAGACTGCATCTTCTGGAACAGGCTTGTGTTCTGGAATATGTGGGTGTCGTGCGCCTTCCCCAACCACCCAATGTAAATGTCTGTGAGCCGTCCCTTGTGGTCCACTAGGACCTGCAGCACCATGGAGAAGTACCCTTCCTGTTGATATGGTCTGAGGCATGGTGGTTGGGGGCCAGGATGGGGATGTGGGTGCTGTCTATGGCCCTCCCACAGTTGGAGACACCCATAGTGGCAAAGCCATTAACAATGGAATCAACGGTCCCCAGGGTGATGACCCTCTGCAGCAATATGGCGTTGATGGCCTTGACTACTTGCATGAGCATGGCTCTGACCGTAGATTTCCCCAAGCCAAACTGGTCCCCCCCCCCGGTCCCATGAAGCAGTAGCTGTCTAGCACAGCGAACTTCCAGAGGGTGATGACGACGTGCTTCTGCATGGGGATGGCGGGTCTCATGCGGGTGTCCCGTCATCCTAGGGCACAGGCGAGACACTCGCAGAGCTCCAAGAAGTTCCGCATGCAGAAGTTCTGGAGCCACTGCTGGTCATCCCATCACCGCAGGACAATGCAATCCCACCAGTCAGAACTGCTCTCCCTCTGCCAGAAGCAGCATTCCATGGTGTGCAGGAGATAGAGGGTCATTTGCTACATCAGGAGTGCCAGAGCCTAGGTGAAGAGGCCCTCGGATCTGGGCTGGGGATCAGCGTCCTGAAGGAGCACATGGGCAGTGTGGATAAACTGTGCCATGAGCTGCAGCATGAGGCCTGAGAGCCTGGCACTGCTTTACGGCAGCTCCGGCCACTTGTTGTCGGTGCTGTGGCATCCACAAGGGCAACAGGAGCACATAATGTGAGTTTGATGTCCCATGTGGGGCGAGGCAGTGGAGGAAAGGCATGTGAGATGCGGCTGTAGAGAGGAGCCCCTTTAAGGGCGTGTTTGAACTAGCCTCTGCAAGGAGCTACAGGAAGTCTCCACCCTCCTTGTCCCCCTCCTGGGGTGCTTCCGGGGGTTCAAAATGCAATGTAGGCTCCAATCAGTGTGGATGCACTACAGGCTGTCCCCGGGTTACGTGGATCCGACTTACATCGGATCCCTACTTACAAAGGGGGTGAGGCAACCCCGCACTAGCTGCTTCCCCCCAGCAGACCAGGGAGATGCGAAGCTAGCGCCCCCCCCCAGCAGACCAGGGAGACGTGGAGCGGCTTTTCTCAGTAGACACCTCAGCTTGAGAATAAAGGACTGAGGGAAGTGAGGTGTGGGAGAATAAAACTGAGCTCTGGAGAAATGTTTGGCTAGAGTTTCCCCTACAATATGTACCAGTTCCAACTTACATACAAATTCAACTTAAGAACAAACCTACAGTCCCTATCTTGGACGTAACCCAGGGACTGCCTGTATTTCAAAATAATTCTGCGCCATTTAGATGCTGCCTTGTATAGTGGATGTGCTATTTCAAAATAATTATTTTGGGAGTTATTATTTTGAAATTTCCTAGAGTAGGCATGCCCTTCCTGTTCTACCTTCAACAGACATGGAGAACAGTTCCTCTTCATAACAGCCCTTAAAACTATTATTGGGTTCTCTCCTTCAATTTCCCTCCCTCTCTGCCCCTCCCCCCCAAATACAAATGCTCAGTTTAAAAAAAAAAATCCACAAAGGTCCAGTTTTCTAAACCTTCTATCATTTTCTTTGTTCTCTGAACTCTCTCTAATTTGTCTGCATCTTAAGGATGTCAAACAGTTAACTGGTAAGCTTATTGGTAAGCATGAGGCTTACTGGTACACTTACAGCTTAATCCAGTGGTTCCCAACCTTTTTTATGCTGCAGACCAGCAAACCCACTCTCAAACGTTTGGCAGACCAGTAACATTTTATTTGCACATTTGCATATTCATTATGCAACCAATGTATCTCCCAGATTTCAGGGGACTGGAAGGCCACAACACATGCTCACTTTGAAATGAGGCAAATCCCATCTCTAAAACCACATCATTGAAACGCTGCAAAAATGAACTCCAGCTTTTCCAGGGAGGTTATTAGGCAATCTGATATTTATTAAGTTTAGTGATATTTTAATGATGTACTTTGAGCTCAAGATCATTTTACTTTAAGAAGAAAGTATTGAAGTTTTCTAAAGAAAGCTCAGCAATTTTCCCTGAAATGGGTGTCTGCAGACAAGATATTCTTATAATTTCACCAGAAAGATAAGAGCAGTTAAACCACTTTTGAAATGGGATTTTAGGATTTAAAAGTTTATGTCCATAATGCAATAACATTTACATACGTGGCTGGAATTTCAGTTCTTCAGCTGGTTCTGATAAAGGACTTCCTTGCTGTAGCCTCTTCTGTTCCATCTGTTGTACAACCTGATTCAGGTGGGGAGAATAAAAAACAAGGAGGGGTCTGAGAACTCACTGGCATCAGCTTTACCTTCCATAAGTCAATGCTCTTTATATATTAGGGCTGTCAATTGACCTGCGTTAACACCTGCGATTAACTCAGGACCGGATTAATGCGTTAAAAAAATTAACACATTAATCACAGGCATTAATGCTGTGCTGCCTCTTTGAAGTGCCAGAGCAGCACTTCAAAGGGGCATTGCACCACAGAGCCGGGGACTCCAGCTGACTCCATTGCAACTGCATGGAGCCCAGGGTTAGCTGAGGACTCCAAAGGGGAGTTGCATGAAATTAATTACAATGAAATTTTTAATCGCTTGACAGCCCTAGTATATATTCTTGTTACATGTGATCTTCACCAGTGGAAAAACTGAGGTCATCTGATGTAAATCTTGCAGTAGGGAAAATGAGTCACATGAAGCCCTCATGGCTCATATGCTGCCCAAAGGGGCAATGACTCCAGAGGTAGTACCTCTTCGCTTTTTTAAAATTCAGAGAAAGGCTTTACAAATGTGAGAAATCCTCCTACTACAATGACAGCACCTGTTGAAGTTCTTGTTTCTGAGCCTGAAGCTGGTCATGCTGTCTCTGTAACTCTTCCTTCTGTTTTTGAAGATCTTCTGCCTTCTTCTTGAGTTCATCTTCCTGCTGCAAAATATGTGATTCAAATTCCTTCAGCTCACTTTCTGAGAAGAGCTGCTGTTGATCCAATGTCTGCAAGAAAATAAGAGAACAAAGAAACTTCACACCAGAATAATGACAATATAACTCACAAAGAGAAATTAGTAATCTTCACAATGCTATGACTACTAGCTGGACTCTAAAATTCACTACTACAGAACATTTTGGCTTGGAACATTTGGAGCATTACTTCTAAAAGTATATGGTAATGTGAAGGAATTCATCACTGCCACTTGTGAGATGGCTTAAATCCTGCTCAAAATTTCAGATGAGGTGGAAAAATTCACCTTGTCTGCTTCTGACTGATTTCCATCCAAGGAAATCCATAGCCAAAATGCTTGTTTTTGGTTTTAAAGGCTTGTGCAAGCCAACAGGCTTTCAGATAATCCATATGAAGGCACAAGACCTATGCAATTTATGTTCTTAAACACCTAGATTATATTTTATTTAGCTAACACCTCTAACCACAGCACACAGGCACATACGAAGGAGGAGGAAAAATGAGAAGTCAGAGACAAACATGCCACTTAGATTCTGATTAGACTGGTCACAGTACAGTATGTTCCATGTGGAACATGCTATTATTACCTCCCAGCTATCTGGCTCCAAAAATTCTTTTTTCTCTGTAGCCCTGAGGAATTCTTGTAAAGTTACTAACCGGTCCTTGTTGACATCAATCTATTTAAAGCAAAAACAAAATATAATCCATTTTGAGCAATACAAGAGACTTTGGGGGAGGGGTTGAATTTACATTTATAAGGTAACAGTCATGTAATTGTATTTTCATGTTAAACCAGACCAATTTCACTTTCAAGTGCAAAACTGCAACTTTTTCACTGATTCTTCCTGACACCTAGTACAAGTTAACAAAATTGGCATAAAAATAGAAATGATCTTATATTTCAAGATTTCTAAACTAAATAATATTCTGCATGTGCTGAGTAATAAAGGAATCAACAAGATACAAATACCTTTTCCTGAGAGAATATTTCACAATTTGTTTTGTTAGTGCAAATTTAGCAAGAATAATACTGGGAGGGCAAAAAGGCCAATTCTCAGGCTGCCTGAAAACATGCTAGAAAATTTCAGTTGGTTTCCAGTCTGCTTTCCTTTCCAAATGTTTGCTTTAGGACAGTCTCTCATTGGAATGTCTCACTAAGACATTAATGTAGGATTAGGTTAAACACAGTGTTATGTTTTTGAGCTGTCCCAACTGCAAGCCAGGATTTGGAACAAATCTATTATCTTGATATCTAGGATTCAGTTCTCTTGGCCTTTCAATTCCAAAAGAAGCTCTCCCTAAAAGCTGACTGAAAACTTGCTGCTAATAACTGCGATCCATCCTAATCTTCCATGTTAGGAGGAAATTAAAGTAGCAGGAAACCAGTTGAATGGCCCCAGAATAACCTCTTCTGGTCCTCCCTCTGACTAATCTAGCACCTCAACTCTTCCCACCTCAACACTCATGGGTAGTGTCTGTAAGAATGAATGTTGGCACTCATCGCTCTCAGATCAGACTCCTTGTGGAAGTGGGGGAAGGGCTGGATACATGTAAGAAGGCACTGACACAATTGCTGTTTGCACATGTAGCTGTTTTGAGAGACCTAACAGGCCGGCTAAGGGAGCAGCCCAGAGGACAGCCCTGTGCTACTCCAGGCCCCAGGATATACAGGAAATATCAGTGGATCCTGGGACATATGTAGAGCTCTCCATGTCTATTCCAAGCACGATTCTTCTGGAACTCCGTATAAGTGAGAATATGGATTTTTCCAAGCAGTTTCAGCCATCTAGCTTCTTTTCTGAGAGAGGACAAGATATTGCCTGGCATTGCAGCATTGTGTACTTTGAATTATTGTATGCCTGTGAAGCAGTACTGTGAAGCAGTAAAATGGGCAACATTTCCCTCTGCTGTACCTGGGCAATCTTGCTGACTTCAATAGGATTGCACAGGTACAACAGAGCAGGATTTGGCCAACTCTGTTAACCTTCAGACCACACCTCATTCATAACATGCTCTCTCATTCTTAGCCTTTCTTCTTCCATTTCCACCATGTCATCCTCTTCATTTTTGGGGTCATATACTTTCTCCAGCTGAAAATACATGAAATAAAAATTAGCTGGAAGAAAGGGCTGCTTATTCAGAATAGAGCCCATTTGAGACTATGTAAAATATTGCTTTAAAAACAAAACTTGGCCAATTTGAACCAGTCCTGATACTGATATGCTTTTGCACTACATTTAGCGGAGGCACTACAGACAGTAAATCCAATGGGAAATGATTGCTTTAGGTAAAGCAACTTATTTTAGCATGATTTTTTAAGCAGAATATGAGACTTTCAATGGCATACAGTGAAGCCTGGTGCTATTTCAAGTGGAGTCCTGTAATGTCTGCTACGTAGGCTTATACTTTAAATTCATAGGGAAATCTAGACGCTGATCCAGTGACTGCCTTAGTGCAGGTGAGGAGCCCAACTGACTTCAATGGACCACCATGTGGGCACAGAGATATGACCATATAAAGTCAATTGCAGGTCCTGGGCATAAATCTGGCGCTGAATCCAGTAGGCATTTAAGTGGTATCTTGTGTGTGTACTGTTGTTCTGAGTTCCTTAATCTGCATTGGCTACCTTTAATTTTGGGACGGATTTTTCAGGTTATGACTTTAATTTACAAAGCAGTAAGTGTTGGCACATACCCATCTAAAGACTATCTCCCTGTGCCATACTGGAACCCTACTGGTATGACAGAGGAGGCTACAGGCAAGGTGCTTTCTGTGAGGGCTCTGCACTTTCAAATTCGGTTCAGAATAAACGGAATTTGTTAACTCTGAGGTTATGTTATCAGGCCCATGTCTTCTAACTGGCTCATGGTAGGGACACAAATGGCTTTTTTTTAATTAAGCAGTTTAAAATGTCTTGTTCTGAGACAAGACATGCTGAAAAACCAAAAGTCTATTTATTCTACTTGAACTCAGCATGATGGCGCTCCTCACAGTAGTGTCTATCACCGATGTATATATCCTCACATCCTGTAGACAAGTAGCAACATCCCCTATTTTCACAGAAGAGGGAGTAAGGCCCAGGTCCTCAAACTTACTTAGGTACCAAACTTCCTTTGAAATCGATGGCAGTCAAGCACCTAAATACTTTTGAGAATTTTCTGGACCTAAGTGACTTTATCCCAAATCACAAAAGAGAATCTGTGGCAGAGCAAGATATTTGAACTGCCTTCTACCTTAATCACTAACCCTTTGTTTCTCTCACTCAATGGTGTATTGAATAATTTTAATGTGTCGAGGTCACTCAGACCTGGAGATGAATGTTCTTGTTCATAGTCTAAATCAAAATAAAATAAATAAGGCTATGTCTGCATGGCAGTGCTATTTTGGGATACTGGAGGTATCCTGAAATAGCTATTCCGTGTCTTTTGAGCGCACCCATTATTTCGAAATATAACGGGCTTGCTATTCGACGTCCCTGTAAACCTCATTCCATGAGGAGTAAGGGACGTTTCAGAATAGTGATTTATTTCAAAATAAGTGAAATAATATTGAAATAAGATATGCAATTTGAGCTATGCAAATTGCTTATCTTATTTCAAGCTGTGGTGCAGTGTAGACGCACCCTAAATGTCCATTTAGAAAGACAGGGAAAGCATCAACGCATTGAATGATCTGAAATAGTCTCCTTTTTACCTCTTTAGTAAACAGGGCCTCTAATTCTTGCTCATCCAAGAAGCCATCATTATTGACATCTATAAAAGTATAAGAGTTGATAATGTAAATACAGAAAATTATGAATAAAGTAGTTCACAGTGGGTCAAATAAGCAGATGCCAGCATAGAGTCTAGAATGGATTAACCTCTGTAGCTAATAAAATGTTGGGTACAGAATATGACTTGGAGATTATTCCACTTAACATTAAATCAGGCTGGGGTTGATCTGCACTAGATTTCTGGCGACTAAAACATCTAAAATTAAAAGAAACTGATACTAACAGGTCATAATGAGGCTACTCTAGGCCCCGTGTCTTTTGTGGGATTTATTATTTTCAAATTTCACGTAGAAGTCCAAAAATTGGTATTCTCAAGACTTTCTTATTCTATACACTATAATCTCTTTGCAATGTTCCTTAGTGTGCTTTAACACAGTAAGTTTCAAAACAGAGCTATGCTAAAGTGTATGTGGGAACCTTTACAGGAATCTGTGTAGATCCTGACTGTGCACAGCAGTCTTCACTCCTGCTCTGTGTAAACAGACCCTTAGCTACAAGTAATAAGTTCTAGTGATTTCCTAGAGTCTTTTGGATAAACACAGATTTAATTTTGGGGGCAGTTTGTGTGGTGTTGGTGTTCATTGGTTAAAACATAAAATAAGGATACCCAGGCTATTCTCTAAGATATTGCTCAACATGAGAAAAGGTAGCTGAATCTGGAGAAGTTTGGCTAACTGTATGGAAGCTTTTCCAAGCAAATTCTAGAGTTCTGTTGGTGAATATAACAATATTCCATTGGACCCAGTTTAGAATGAGCTTGGAAAGGCATGCAAAAAGGAAATGTACAAAATATTTAACTGTGGATCAGTAACTCATGCTTCAGGCTGTGATGGTAGTCACGGGGGTCACAGTAGTCCAGGATTCTGTACTTCACCAGACATCTGTAACTTCTTCAACTGCAGCTGTCAGCAGCTGGGGCTGGAGATGGGACTGTGGCCCACTGCTCTGCAACTAGGGCTGCATGGCTGGAACCAGGACCCAGCAGGCCATGCCCTGCAACTTAGGGATGGGGGAGAAGAGGTGTGTTCAGACTGCACACCCTTGTCCAACAGCTGTGGCCAGCTCAGGAATGGAGGCTGTGTGTTCCCTGTGACTGCGTCACTCATTGTGTCCCAATCTCACAGCTCCCACCAGGGGCTGAAATGGGGACCAGTCATGTGCCCCAGCCTGCAGTTTTGCTGGGACCTACAGCCAGGCCCATGCACCCCACCCCATCAAAGTGTTCCAAGGCCATGTGCTGTGCTCCCACAATTGCAGCTGGAGTTTGGTAGGATTGCAGCCAGGGCTGTGCGCCCCGTCTCCCAACTTCAGAGCCAGGGTTGCGTATCACCTCTGGCTGTGCCCCTGGGTGCATCCCAGCCCTTCAGCTTGTGCTGGGGTCTGCAGCTGGGGCCACACACTCCTGCCTGGTGGCTGCAACAGATATTGAAATCCTCAGGATTTCTCAGAGCTGCGGTCTGGTCTTGACAGGGCTGGATCCAGACCTTGCCACATCGGTGGTGGGAGATCTGCCTGTCTGTCCCCCCTAGGAGACTCCATTCCTTATGTATTCCCTTGTATATTAAAAATGTACACACTTGGACTGAAGTGGAGATGAACGTAGGAGATAGCTGTGTAGAGAGTCTCTGGGTTAAGCTAAAAGGGGTAAAAAACGAGGGTGATATCATCCTAGGAGTCTACTACAGGCCACCTAGCCAGGTGGAAGAGGTGGATGAGGCCTTTTTTAAACAATTAACAAAACTATCCAAAGCTCAAGATTTGGTGGTGATGGGGGACTTCAACTATCCAGACATATGTTGGGAAACTAACACAGCGGGGCACAGGCTATCCAATAAGTTTCTGGACTGCATTGGAGACAACTTTCTGTTTCAGAAGGTTGAAAAAGCTACCAGAGGAGAAGCTGTTCTGGATTTGATTTTAACAAATAGGGAGGAACTAGTTGAGAACTTGAAAGTGGAAGACAGTATAGGGGACAGTGACCACGAAATAATAGAGTTCATGATCTTAAGGAAGGCTGAGTTTGGAAGCAGAGAGAGCAGGGGACACTGCCCCCCTAGTCTTTTAAAAGAAGAATGAACAGTTCTTCCCTGTTCATGTTTTTGTTTCTTCAACAGGGAAGAGTGGGCAGGTCTAAGACAAACATGCTGAGCACATTCTGTCAGGAAGGACAGACAGGGAAAAAAGGGAGGAGGGGTTGCCTTGTATATTAAAAATGTACACACTTGGACTGAAGTGGAGATGAACGTAGGAGATAGCTGTGTAGAGAGTCTCTGGGTTAAGCTAAAAGGGGTAAAAAACGAGGGTGATATCATGCTAGGAGTCTACTACAGGCCACCTAGCCAGGTGGAAGAGGTGGATGAGGCCTTTTTTAAACAATTAACAAAACTATCCAAAGCCCAAGATTTGGTGGTGATGGGGGACTTCAACTATCCAGACATATGTTGGGAAACTAACACAGCGAGGCACAGGCTATCCAATAAGTTTCTGGACTGCATTGGAGACAACTTTCTGTTTCAGAAGGTTGAAAAAGCTACCAGAGGAGAAGCTGTTCTGGATTTGGTTTTAACAAATAGGGAGGAACTAGTTGAGAACTTGAAAGTGGAAGACAGTATAGGGGACAGTGATCATGAAATAATAGAGTTCATGATCTTAAGGAAAGGTAGAAGGGAGACCAGCACAATTGAGGTTATGGATTTCAGGAAGGCAGATTTTGATAAGCTCAGAGAACTTGTAGGTAAGGTCCCATGGGAAGCAAGACTGAAGGGAAAAACAACTGAGGAGAGTTGGAAGTATTTCAAAGGGACGTTGTTAAGGGCCCAAAAGCAAACAATTCCGCTGTGTAGGAAAGATAGAAAATATGGCAAAAGACCAGCTTGGCTTAACAAGGAGATCTTGCATGATCTCAAAATAAAAAAGGAGTCATATAAAAAATGGAAACTAGGACAACTAACAAAGGATGAATATAGGCAAGCAACACGGGAATGCAGGGGCAAGATTAGAAAGGCAAAGGCACAAAATGAGATCAAACTAGCTACAGGCATAAAGGGAAACAAGAAGACCTTTTATAAATACATTAAAAGCAAGAGGAAGACCAAGGACAGGGTAGGCCCACTGCTTAGTGAGGAGGGAGAAGCAGTAACAGGGAACTTGGAAATGGCGGAGATGCTCAATGACTTCTTTGTTTCGGTCTTCACCGAGAAGTCTGGAGGTGTGCCTAACGTAGTGAATACAAGCAGAGAGAGGGTAAGTTTAGAAGATAGGATACACAAAGAACAAGTTAAAAATCACTTAGGAAAGTTAGATGTCAGCAAGTCACCAGGTCCTGATGAAATGCATCCCAGGATACTCAAGGAGCTGATAGAGGAGGTATCTGAGCCTTTAGCTATGATCTTTGAAAAATCATGGCAGACAGGGGAGATTCCAGAAGACTGGAAAAGGGCAAATATTGTGCCCATCTATAAAAAGGGGAATAAGAACAACCCAGGAAATTATAGACCGGTCAGTTTAACGTCTGTCCCAGGGAAGATAATGGAGCAGGTAATTAAGGAAATCATATGCAAACACTTGGAAGGTAATAAAGTGATAGGGAATAGCCAGCATGGGTTTGTGAAGAACAAGTCATGCCAAACTAATCTGATAGCTTTCTTTGATAGGATAACGAGCCTTGTGGATAAGGGAGAAGCGGTGGATGTCATATACCTAGACTTTAGTAAGGCATTTGATACGGTCTCGCATGATATTCTTATTGATAAACTAGGCAAATATAACTTAGATAGGGCCACGATAAGGTGGGTGCATAATTGGCTGGATAACCGTAGTCAGAGAGTTGTTGTTAACGGTTCTAAATCCTGCTGGAAAGGGATAACAAGTGGAGTTCCTCAAGGGTCTGTTTTGGGACCCGTACTGTTCAATATCTTCATCAATGATGTAGATATTGGGATAGAGAGTACGCTTATTAAGTTTGCAGATGATACCAAACTGGGTGGGGTTGCAACTTCTTTGGAGGATAGGGACATAATTCAAAATGACCTTAGCAAGTTAGAGAAATGGTCAGAGGTAAACAGGATGAGGTTTAATAAGGAGAAATGCAGAGTGCTCCACTTAGGAAGGAACAATCAGTTCCATACATACAAGATGGGAAGCGACTGTCTAGGAAGGAGCATGGCGGAAAGGGATCTAGGGGTCATAGTGGACCACAAGTTGAATATGAGTCAACAGTGTGATGCTGTTGCCAAAAAAGCAAATATGATTCTAGGTTGTATCAACAGGTGTGTTGTAAGCAAAACTCGTGAAGTCATTCTGCCGCTCTATTCTGCACTAGTTAGGCCTCAGCTGGAGTACTGTGTCCAGTTCTGGGTGCCACATTTCAAGAAAGATGTGGAGAAATTGGAAAGGGTACAGAGAAGAGTGACAAGAATGATTAAAGGTCTAGAGAGCATGACCTATGAAGCCAGGCTTCATGAACTGGGCTTGTTTAGTTTGGAAAAAAGAAGATTAAGGGGGGACATGATAGTGGTTTTCAAATATCTAAAAGGGTGTCACAAGGAGGAAGGTGAAAATTTGTTCCTCTTGGTTTCTGAGGACAGGACAAGGAGTAATGGGCTTAAAGTGCAGCAGGGGAGGTTTAGATTGGACATTAGGAAAAAATTCCTAACTGTCAGGGTGGTCAAATATTGGAATAAATTGCCAAGGGAGGTGGTGGAATCTCCCTCTCTGGAGATATTTAAGAACAGGTTAGATAGACATCTGTCAGGGATGGTGTAGACGGAGCTTGGTCCTGCCTTGAGGGCGGAGGGCTGGACTCGATGACCTCTCGAGGTCCCTTCCAGTCCTATTATTCTATGATTCTGTGACACTCTATTCCTCCTCCCTACCTAGCTCTGACTCCAGTTATTTTTAGTAAAGTTACAGACAGATCACAGGCTCTGTGAATTTCTGTATTGTCTGTGACTTTTTTAAATTACAAATAACCACAAATCTTAGCCTTATTCATGCTATATGACCATCCATGATACTTTAATGGTTGAGAGACTGTCTAGTCCTGTGGTCCCCAACACGGTGCATGCGCCCGCCAGGTGCTCGGGGCTGGCCTGGCCCCGGGCACATGGCGCGACGC